CTCTCTCTCTCTCTCTCTCTCTCTCTCTCTCTCTCTCTCTCTCTCTCGTGTGTGTGTGTGTGTGTGTTCTTTCTTCCCTGTCTCCCCTCTCCCACCTACCCTCCTCACCCCATCCCCGACCCACCCAGAAGTTTCAAGGACCCCTTGGCTGTGGAATTAACAGAAAGTGGGAAAGGCTGCTGGCTGCTGTCTTAGGGCTGGTGAGCCTGGGAGGTGGCTGGTGGCCTTGCAAGGTGCCGGGAGAGCTGAATTTGAGAACTGGCTGGCTCTTTTGCTGGCCACATAGGGATCGACTGTCTAGGTTCTGAAAGCCATGGTCCAGGGTCCCAGGTCTTGGCCACACTGATGACAGCTTCCATATACTGAGTATCAGCTGGGCAGCAAGTGGGGGCCTCCGTGGCTATGTGCAAGGTCTGCACTCCTGCCCCCGCAAACGGGTGTGGAGGCTGGTGGTGCCTGGCTTGTTCCCGGCTTCTGGCAGGGGTCAGAGTCAGCTCTCACACCCAGCTCTACTTGCTCCAGGCTGGCCTTCTGCAGGGTCCTCACCCCATGGTGGACGGCTCAGATGTGGGGGCCCAGGGACCGGTTGTGCCTGGGGGAAGAGGGAGCTGGATTTTCCTGGGAGATTGTGAGCAGAAGCAGGCCCTGAGTGAATGGTTCAGTAGTTTCCCTTGTTTGGGAACAGGACAAAGAAGGCGACTGAGCCCTGTGGGGCTGAGCCCATCTCCAGGCTGAGGCTTGCTGCCCCATGGAGGGAAACCATGAATCCATGGTGCTTCAGGAGCAGGACATCCCCTGGTCATGTTCTCCTGGTCAGAGGCATTTCAGGATGTCTGGGGCTGGGGGGTGGGTGGTGGTGGAGGGGCTGCTGTGGAGGCTACTTACTGGAAGCAGATGGCCAGCAGCTGAGCCACAAAGTAGGCTCCTTCACACATCGAGACGGCAGCTCCTGTAAACCTACAGGTGGAGACAAGTGAGGGGCAGGCATCTCTGGTCCTCCCTTCACTTTCTAGGCTGTCTGCTCACAGCACCTGGATCTCCTGGGCCAGCAGACTGACCGGATTTTTCTGAGCTAATCTTATGCCCCAGACAACATCCAGTAGGTGCTGTCTCCATGCTGGGGGCCTGTGCTGGGTTGGGCCATGTGGTGGAGGGCCAGGTGCAGAGATAGGCAGGACGAAGCTGCTGCCAGGCAGAGAGATGGCCTTCACCCTGGCACCCTGTGTGGACACTGGCAGGTGTGTCCTTCTATCTGCTGGTCACCAGGAGTGACACCCACTGCCTGGTGTTCCAGACATAAAGCTGAACCCGTCCCACATGGCTTTCGTTCTCCCTCATTTCCCATCATCCAGTCACTGGGATCTGTTAACTGTTCTTTAAACACCTTTCGAACCATTCCCACTCTCTCTGGCCTCACCAGCATGGTTTGGGGTCAGGCACTGTCTCCTGGCCCCTGTACCAACTTCCCTGGCCTCACTGACCCCTGGGGCCAGTCTCTGTTCCTCCACCCTGTCACCACCAGGCTGCCAAGGGCTCCTTCTGCAACCTGAATCTGATCATATTCTTCCTGATCCAGAATGCTTCAAAGGCTGCTCGTGTTCTAGGGACCCTCCAATCAGAATCTCCTGGAAAATATGTAAAATCATAGATTCCTGGGGCCCAGCTAGACTTTATACATCAGAATCTTTGGGAATGGAACTTACATTTCTTTTTTTGTGGAGGGTCTCACTGGCCTATAGAATCAAAATTTCTTAGCATGTCTTTCAAAGCCTTTCATGAACTTCCAAATTCCCCTGACTACACAGGAAGCTATCAGGTGCCACAGGGCTTTTGCACAAGCTAGTCCTTCTAGGAAGTCCTCTCCCTTCCCTCTCCAGTCCGTCTATTGACCTCTTGCTTCTCCATGTTATGATGTATGACCAGAGCCACCAGTCTGTAAACTTCCAAGTGAGTTTGCTGTCTAAAGCCTCTGTGCAGCCCAGGCATAACCTGGAGTGTGCTTATTGTTAAGTGCTCCATAAACGTGTGTTGGAATGAATGAATGAGTGAGAGTAGATACTGTCATGCAGGGGACAGCAGCTGGGGGACAGCGTTTTCTCAGGGCTATGCGTATTGCCATTGATACTGATCATGGAGAGAGAGAAAGAAAGATGACCTAATATTTATATAATCACTATGTGCCAAGCACAGTTCCAAGGGCTTTACAAATATCAGCTCATTTAATCCTTGCAACAATTTTCTGATAAACACTATAATTACCCTCAGTTTACATATAAGTAAACAGAGGTACAGAGAAGTTAAGCTCTGGCCTGTGGTCACACAGCTGATCAGTAGCAGGGGCAAGATTTGAACCCATCACTCAGGCTCCAGAGCCTGCATGCCTAACAAGCACACCAAGGCACATGCTTTGCAAAACAAGTGGCGTTGCCTTTCTCTACATCCTGGGGCAGAGGGGGAAAGTGAGGCTTGGGGAATGAAGTGACTCATTCAGACTTTCCATCTGGTGCTAGCTAGGGAGGGGCAGATGGGGCAGGCAGTAGGTGCCGATCCTGTGGGGGTTAGAGAGAGATGCAGAATATAAACTAGTTCACAGTGAGGCACAGAAGCACCCGAGGCTGGATTGTACTGCAGAGAGATCAGATGGGTCCCCTCAAGACAGGGCTGGGGCAGTCAGGAAGAGGGAGCTCCTGGGCAGAAAGCAGTCTGCATTAACCTGCCTGGACCTGACCGGAGAGCTAGGTGGCCGTGGAGAGGAAAAAGGCCTGGTCCTGTTTTGGGGTCCCAGGGAGACCACGCACAGTGGCTTGGAGGTGAGATCATGCAGGGGAGTTTGAGGAGGAGTTGGAAGCCTCTGAGCTGTAACTGAGAGGTGAGAAGTCAGGAGGAGGCCAGAAGATGGCACAGGAGTGTGGAGCGGGCTGTGAGAGCTGTTGAAGGTGGCTGGAGAGATCTGGGTGTCTAGATGGCAGTGTGGAAACGGGCTTGGACGTGGGCTGCAGCTGGGAGGCAATGGGCATGAGCCACCAAGTGCAGCAGACAGCCTGCCCTGAGGCAGGAGGGTGGGAGCTGCTGAGGACATAGGATAGCCATCATGGCGAAGGTGGAGGTGGCGTGTGAGGAACAAGAGGAGGGAGGATGCAGCCTGGTGACCTGCAGGCAGACCAGGACTTGCGTAGCCTGGCCAAGAGTAACCCACCGCTGCTCTGCTCAGCAACCCCTTCAGCACCAGGGGGGCTGGAAAACAGGCTTCTCGTACTGTCAGGAAGAAACTGCTGGTAGCCCCTCAGGATGGGTGTGCAGAGATGCTGGGTCAGAGCCTGCAGAGACCCCAGGCTTTCCTCACTCCTTTTTCCTCATTCCCATGCCCAGTGGTCTCCTTCCCACCAGGCGGTGTTTCCAGGGGCAGCTTGTAGTGGAGAAGAAAGGACTAAGTGGTCCTGGGTTCGAATGTGAGCCCTGCTGCTCCTGAGGTCAGTGATAGGGGCTGCACTGCTTTGTCCCTCTGAATTCTCTCATCTGTAGCTCTAGGCCAATACACACTTCTACGGTGCTGTGAGATGTGTTTATAAGGTCAATAAGACAACTGTGCTGGGCATGTAGAGCAGTTTAAATATATATTCCCTTGACTTGGTTCCACTTTTTCTAAAACAAGAGCTCAGTTAATGTTTGCTCAATAAAGAGATGATTGAAGGGGTGCATGGTAGGGTGGATGAGTGAATGAACGTGTAGATGGATGGTTTGAATGGGGTAGTGGGTGGATGAGTGGAAGGGTGGAGGGATGAATGGATGGATGGATGGACAGATGGATAGATGGGTGAGTGGGTGGATGGATGGATGGATGGGTGGGTGAGTGGGTGGACGGGTGGGTGGGTGAGTGGGTGGATGGTGAGTCCGTGGGTGGGTGGGTGGATGAATGGATGGTTGAGTGAGTGGGTGGATGGATGGATGGATAACTGGGTGATTTATGGGATGGTATGCCCAAACCAGGAGCTATCCTAGAAGCCCCCTTGACTTCTTTTCCCCCTGGGATGGGATGGAATTAGCATGGGAATTCTCATCTGGGTTAATCTGAGCACACAGATGTAGGGTGAGCTGGAGCAGAATATACAGGCAGGGAGGTCACTTGCACACATACTCACAGCAGATAGAAAGCCAGGCTTTTGAACTGGCCCTGGAGGAAGGTCTCGGTGCCCACGCCGATCAACACTAAGGGGCAAGAAGAGAGGGGAGAGTGGGCCTGGGTGCTCCACACCACAGTCCTGCCCTCTGGAGTGAGCCTTCTGTGGAATGAGCCTTCTCCCTGGGACTGAGAACCAGGGTAGCTTCTTCTCCATGTGGCATGGGCAGCTGTGGCTGGGAAGGTGCACAGGACAAGGGAGCCTCCTAAATTGGTCCCTGGCAGCCCCAGGCAGAGCCTCAGAGGACTTCTGATCCAGCTTCCCCAGAGCACAGATGCCCCTCCTCCTCTGCGCACGCTGGTCATGCAGCCACCCCTCAGTGCCCCTAGAGAGATCCCACACTAGCAGGCCATCAGTTGTTGATGTGTCTTGGTTTTGACCCTCACTGAAGCCACCAGTACCCTCACCCCTCACTCCTGGGGGATTGTGGAAGTGCTCTGAGAGGAGGGACCGAGAGCATCGATCTCGGCTGGGGAGGGGGGCAGTTATGTTTTCTGAGTGCTGGGTGGAGGGTTCCTGTGCTCCCATGTGCTTCATGGGCATAGCAGTGGCAGACACCACATCTCCCACCCTCCCGGGCTCCAGCTGCCCTGCTGGCTTGTACTGGGTGAGGGCCAACTTCTTCCAACGTCAGCCTAACTGGAGTCCAAACATGCAAAGCACATTGGATCTTATACACAACAGATGCTCACATGTCCTGGCTCCTCATGGCTCCTCATAGCAGCCCCATGGCACAGGGGTTCCTATTCTCCCCCTTTCCCACAGGAGGAAAACGAGGCTCAGCGATCTTGTGCGGTTCATGCAAGGACACATGCTACAAAGTGAAGACCCAGAGACCAGACTTGAGATGTCTGGCTCCAGGTGGTGGGTGGTTTCCTGGTATCCACTGTCCACCAGTGTGAGCGTGTGTGTGAATGTGGGTGTGTGTGTGTATGCATGTGAGCGGGTGTACGTGTAAGTGTGTGATATGCATGTGAGTGTAACTATGTGTGTGCATTGTGCAGGCCAAAGGCCTGTGAGTTTTCACTGTGTACCCTGTCCTATTCTCAGCACTTAGTATTTATTAACTTATTTAATCATTGCAACGGTCCTGTGTGAATGCGCTATTGTTATCCCCATTTTACAGAAGAGGAAACTGAGGCACAGAGCATGTAAGTAAAACCAACCAACTAACCAGCCATGGATGCCTAGGTCAGATACCGAGTTTCAGTCTCTTTTGCCAGTTAAAGCTGAGTCACTCAATGTCTCTAAGCCTCAGTTTCTGCATTATGAGAATTCAATGAGCTAATCATATGCCAAGCATGTCACAGGTGATCAATGAGCCATTCATTAATTTTTGGCACAACGTTCTAGTCCTGCCTGGGGAAGGGGGTCTTCCCACACATGGTCTGGGGAGGGTCTTCGCGTTGGGCTGAAGCCTGTGGTTGTGCACTTCTCCGTTCACAGCGGTGCTCTTGGCAGATTTGCACGGGCTTGTGGCAGAGGACTTGAGCATGGCAGGAAGGGTCCTGGGAGCTCAGTGCCTTCTCCTGACTTTTACTCCTGTGGCCTGTGGAGAGCTATTTTGATGGCTTTTGTTTCGTGCCCTTGAGACTGAAACCGAGGGCTAACAGTCGAAGGGACATTCAAGGAATATGGTAGAGGCAGTGTGGATTTGCATTTAAAAAAAATCACAACAGCAGCAGCAGAGAAACAAGAGCTGGATTGGACTCCCGGTTCTGTGTGTTATTACCTGGGTGACCTCTGGTAAGAACTTGACCCATGTGAGCTGGGTTTTCTTGTCTGTGCAATGGGCAGAATAAACTGCACAGCGTTGTTGCTCAGACTGGAGAAAATGACGAATCTGAAACGTGCGGCTCTGTGCTCGATAGATGTCGGGTGGCCAGTGCATGTGCGCCCCTCTCCCCTAGCTCGGGCCCTGGCAGCTTTCCCAGCCCTGCTAGAGCATTTGCACTGAGGGGAGTGGGGTCACTCTCCCCACCACAGCTGTGCAGATTCTGCATCCCAGGGACAGAGGGATGACCTCTGGCTGGAGGGGGAGTGTGAGAGGGAGCCGGGAGGATGGGCCCTCAGCCTGGGCGAGGTTTAAGGGGGGTCCAGTGGATTCCCATCGGAGGCTGTAAGGCCCTTTGACACCCAGGCCAAGGGGTCAGCTGCTTTCTGCTCACTCCTCCAGTTCTGGGGTTCACGTTCTTGGAGGCAGACCATGCCAGGTTGAGACAATGACCAGCAGGAAGTCCTTCCTTCTGCCCCCCACACTGTTGGCCTGGGCCTCCATCCTCAGGCTCTTCTGCTTGGGAGCTGCGGCCACACTCCTCGGTGTCTTGGAAGCTCTTCCTAGATGCTGCTGCCATCTGGTATTCCATGGCTTCCTGTTGGGGTACCTTGGGGGTCAGGCCCAATGGTGGGCTGCAGTCAGGCATCGGCCTCACCTCTGGGGTGTGGTGGGCCCAGCAGGAGAGGACAGGCTGGGAGAGAGGCTCAGCCAACACACTTGGGGGTCAGACGAGGGAAGGGCCATTGCTGGAGACTGTCAAGAAGGACTCTATGAAGATTAAACAAGGTGGACTTGGAAGGCAGGCAAGAAATGGACAGTGCAAGTTGGGGGTCGGGCATTCCGGGAAGGGCCCCCATAATAGCACATTGCTCCATCTGGAGCAGGGACACAGAAGGGGCAGTGGGCAGTATATGTGGATTGAGGCCAGACTAGGGGGTCCTCAAGCACCAGACTCCACAGGGTGGGCAGGGGAACCCTGAGTGTCTCGGAGCAACCATGGGACGTGTTCAGATGGCTATTTCAGAAAGATCCCTGACCTCAGGCAGGCGGGGTGAGAGACCTTGGTGATATTTAGTGGTGACTGAGGGACACAGCCCAGCTCTGGGTGATCCTGGCCTCCCCCTCTTCCAGCACACTGGTGTCTGCTAGCTCCTTTGTGGCCTTGGCTTGCAGCATTCTTGTTGTGACTCCTGATGGTGTGGCCTGGCTGGCCCTGCTCACCTGTGTGCACGGCAGCTACTCAGCATAAGGGCTTGAGAAAGGATAGGACTGCATAGTGGGTTGAATTATGTCCCCCCAAAACTCACTGAAGCTTGAATTGTGTCCCCCAAGTTTTATGTATTAGGACCTTAGCCCCCGCTGTTACTGTCAAGAGGGTGGGGAATCCTATTATGGTAATTGAAAGGTGGAGCCTTGAAGAAATGATTTGATTGTAGGACAATGCTATTCTGAGGGTTTTGAAAGAAGAGTGCATGAGGAGGTCTCTCTCTCTCTCTCTCTCTCTCTCTCTCTCTCTCCCTGCTGTCTCTGGTCCCACCACTTTGCATTGTGGGACCCCTGGGTCACTGTCATCACCACCGGCTGGACTTTGGACTTCCCAACCTCAAAAACTGTAAGCAATACATTTTGTTTTCTTTATAAATCATCCAGTTTCAGGTATTTTGTTATAAGCAACAGGAAAAGACTAATACAGGCTGGTTCTGTCCGGAGATCCAGAGAAGGAGGCTTCCCAGGCACAAAGGAGAGGCATGCCCTGTCATTGCATGTTGGAATTTTTGCTTTTTCTGGAAGGTGGAGGGCAGAGGGTTGGACTGTCACAGGTGGACAGAAGGCATCTGGGTTTGGAAACTCCCTGGGTGTGCTAGCCCAGCTGCCTCTCAACCAGGGGCCAGCACATGCCACACACCTAGGAAAACTCTACATGGATCTTGTTTAATGGGCACATCCTCCCTACCCAAGGCACACAGGTAGTGAAGGGCAGAGAGAAGCCAGGATCTGGGCAAGATTCCCAGTGGTCCCAATGCCTCTGGCAGGAGTCAGGGGAGGGCTGGGGTGAGAAAGGTGCAGGTGAGAGAAACATTTCCTTGGGGCCCTCATGAGCACAGGAGGAGTGGTGTGGAGAGATGAGATCCGTGTCCTTGTAGGCAGAGGATGACTGTGTCCCCCCCAGACCCAGCTGTGAATGGATTTTTGCAATGTCTGCATCAGCATGAGGCAGGAAACAACCCCTTTGCTGCTTTAATGACCTGCCTGGTACCCAAGTGGTGGGTCAGTGTGGAGACTACCTGTCTGACCCTGACCCCAGGCATTCAGCAAGGAGCCCCCATCCTGGGCAGAGCTGTCTTCTGAGTGTCAGAGGCAGTCACAGCCTGAATCTCCCCTGCCAGGGCAGTTCATCCCAGTAACTCAAGAGGTGCTCCTTCAGGTTGTGAAATGTCCAGTGGACACATACCCTCATTCATGGCATGTCCTCTGTGCCATGCCTAGGGAAAGCACAAGGTGCAAAGGAAATACCTGCTGAAGCCTGGGCAGACAGCCCAGACCCTACAAACAGAGGGATACCGAGGGGAGAGACAGGCCCCAGTGCTCTGGAACAGCATGAGGGTGGGCTCCATTCTGCCTGGGAACCAAGGAAGTCTCTATGGAGGAGGAGGAGGAAGGCAACACTAAGAGGCTGGGGTGGTGTGAGTAAAAGCCTGGAGCTGCAGACTCTGGGAGCTTCTCTGTGCAGCTCCTGGGCTGGGCAAGGTCACTGGGGCCATGCTGGGTAGGGTGTGTGGCTTCCTCGGCCCACATCTTCAAGTCCTCTTTCACCCTCACCTTGCAACTTCCTCCTGTCCCCTTCCCCCAAGAGAGCCAAGTCCACTGAGAAAGGTGTGCCCTGTGGTGCTGGGAAAAATCCCTTCCCTGCAATCTAGGGGCAGCCAAGTGCCCTAGGGACTGAGCCTGCTTCTGCAATGACTTACTCTAGTCCCTGACACTTATCTCCCAAAGGTCTCCCAGTTTTCTCAGTGATGATTGCTGTTTGCCACATCTAAGGAAAATAAGCTAGGAATGGTCTGGCTGTGAAGTCCTCCTCCTAATCCCTGGAGGGCTGGACTCCCGGAGACCCTGTGAGATGACTGCTGATTCTATGGCAGAAAAGGGGAATCGGTCCCACCCCTTTGTAGAAAGTTAGTGAGAGAAATATCCCTAATGATAGCAATGCAATTTTGGGTCTGTTACAGCAGAGGTGTTAAGTTAAAGCTATT